GCCTCTCACTAATTACTCAAGCGTTACCTTGTCAGCCTGCAAAAACTACTAGTGATCTGGACCATTATTTTAAAGTGAAAAACACCTTAACCACTCAGTAATTATTAAGTAATTTAATAAGTTATATCGGACACATACATTTGTGTGAGGTACTAGTGATATTTTACCAGACTCTGTAATCTGGAATATGCGGTTTTGTGCTTAACACAATATAAATGCAGTCGATGCCTTCATTAAGGATGTGAATTGTTTTTGTCAAGAGAACATCATTATTTATATTCAAGAAAAGTCCTCCCCAGCCTACTGTCACTAAAGGTATAGGTCTTTTGGAGTCGGAGACATACTGAACTGACACAAACTAGAGCTCATAATTGTGAACTAATTCAATCACTTCCTAATTATTAACATTTTTAAATGAATTATTTTTTATTATTATTTTGTTTTTGTTTGAAATAAACGGAGAACATCCATCCTTTGGTAAGAGTAGTAGTCACAATTTCAACCTGTAGCCGACTTATTTGGGGGATATCATATTCATAAATTAGTTTCCACAAATAACCCAATTGTTCACTTTTAAGACATTACTGTTGTGATTAGTAATTAATTGGTTATTCTTTAGTAACTGGCCATAGTTCACAAGTAGTTCTCAATGAGGATATATTTTTTTTGTAATTATCAAATATCTAATAAGTAACTACCTTTGTCCTAAATTTGCTACTACTTACTGCTTAGTTAATCTTGCTTCTCTATTAGTTAATAGTATTAAGTTAAGTGTTAATGTAGTACTACCTATTACTTCCTACATAGTTACTTGTTAACAACGGACCATTATTCTAAAGTGTTACCATCAAAGTTTGGAGTGCTGTGCTTCACCTTGTAGCTGGTTGGTTTGGTTCATGGCTTTTTAGCCACAAGATTCCTGACTGCTCTACTCTACTTCTAGCTGGCTCAGAATTGTATTCTGGCACGGCTATCAAACCCCTGAAGTAATCCTTCCCTTCAAAGACATGGCCTGCCAAAAAGACATGCTCTTGGGCTTACATTAGAATATTAATCAGCTTTAATAAATGATAGACTTTATAATTTATCTAGAGTAGCACAGTGAACTTCTGTGAGCTCTCTTGAGACTGCATTTGAGGGTCTTTTCAATTAATTTTCTGGCCTGTATTGGCTCTAATTGTAACATCAATGCAGTAATAACTCTGTTCTGTAGATTTCAGATGTGATAAGTTTTGTTGTAAGCTCTATTAAAACCAGCCGCTGATTTAATGAACAAGTTAATCCGTGTTAATCAAGCACTTACGCTCTTGCTGGATCTTTGCTGTTAGTTCCAAGAGGGGTGGATGAAGAGAAAAACAGTTCAATTGTGTGAGTAGTTAACAGAGAGTGAGGAAACATGGCTATGATGACAATAATTAAAACATTTACATTAATATATTACAATTGCTACTAAACTACTGTTATAAGACAAGACAAAAATTATTTTAGTTAATGGCTGCTAAACTCTGAAGTATGATTGCTACAGTTATTATAAACACTGAGTCTACTTTAACATATTAACACCAAAAATAGCAACCAAACAAATAAACTTACCTGTTAATGGGCCACCAGATGAATGAAGCAGAGAGAAAATTACAAAAAAGGGGGGAGGGGAGATACATTTTAAGACAGAAAAAAAAACATATCAAAAATACATCACTGTCACATTAGCAAATCATAATCGGTGCATTTATCTTCCCCATATGGCAGTATATTTAATCTTCGACTGTCTTTCTTTGTCTTGTGACAGGCCTTGCGGGGGGTTTCTCACATTCGATAATAACCGCAATAAATGTGATGTATGTTCTCAGAAGAGTCAAAAATGGCTTTTGTGATTGTGCTTTGCTAATTAAAGGAATATGACCTTCATATTCAGGTTATAGTAGAAAGCACCCATGTGTCTGTTGTGCTTTTCATCGGATAGTGACAGGTGCATCTCTGGCTCTGTGCCATTCATCATCCGACATCAATCATAGCACATAAGCAAGGTCACACGGGGATGGGACGTCATGAGCAACATATGTGTTAGTGTGTGTGTGAGCGCATGTGTAAGGTCAGCTGGGAGCCGATGACAACCCTCGTCAATAGAAATCACATTTGGGGAGGGGGTGATATTGGGAGTGAAGGATCATTAGGGAGATAATGGAGAGATGCTAGTCACATCTCTAGTTTAATTCATCTTTTAGATCAAGGGTCTTCTGCAGGGGGTCTGACGATTATTGTATGTACATTATGACATTTGTTCATATTAGCTTAAACCAAATCTAAAGTTAAGTCCCAATTGTCCCACCATACAGAATATACTGTTCAAATATACCTACATATACATATACATATATACACACACACACACACTGCCGTTCAAAAGTTTGGGATCAGTAAGATTTTTAAAGACGTTTCTTCTGCTCATCAAGGATGCATTTATTTTAATATTTCATAACATTACAGGTATTTTTCTGTATAATTCAGCTTTGACATCAAATCATATTTAAAAAAATGTAAATATATTAAAACAACATACTAAATTGTACAAATATTTCACAATGTTACGGTTTTACTGCATTTTTGATCATAATAATGAATAAGTGCAGGCTTTGTGACTTTCAAAAAGATTAAATACTTTTACGGACCCCAAACATTTGAACTGTAGTGTATATGTACTGTATTTTAAACAAAGTAAATACATCATTAATCAACTATAATATTTATTTATTTATTTGTTTATTAGTTATAATAAACTACATTTTATACTATATGTATGTAACTGCTCTGTCTCTCTATCCAAACGGGGGTCCTTGGTCTTTAAAATGATTTTGATGGTGCGTGTAATATGGAGTATAAGCGTACAAATGAAGACACAACACAGTCGCTAATAGTGTGATTAGATGCTTGTCATTTCCCAGTAGCCCCTGCTGCTGAATACATTCAGAGAGGTCAAGAGGTCAGCGTTCAACACGAATATATATATATATATATATGAAATTTTATATTTTAATAATATTTTAGAATTTATATATATATATATATATATATATATACATACATATATAATTTTATTTGCAATATTTAAATTTCATTAGTATAACATGACATTACAATTTATAATTTCAATGATAACTTACGGTCCAGTGGGACTTCGATTGGAGCCGCCACCTTTGACAGCAGCATGATTATTGACAACACTGCCAGTGCCGCCCACCTCTCCTGCGTCCACATCTCTCTCCTCCAATTGGCTGACCCCTCCCGTCCCAGGTCCCTACTGATTTACTTGCACACTTTTAGATGCGCTGTATGACCTGTGAAAAGAAAAATGCTTACTAAGGAACTTACTCAACATTACTGTGACATTTAGGAGGCGGCACTGCCCTTCCAAAAAGCACTCCTCATAGAGTCCTATTCATCCACAATTTGCAGGGAGACTCTTTAATGCTAAAATACACAATTTGGAGCATGTACTAGTGCCTGCTATGTTCACGAGTAATGCAGGCGTAGGCTGTGCATGTGTGGAGGTTTTTTAACTGGCCTACATTTGCAGTTGACACTAGCATTCCCTGGAGCCTTACAGATGAATGCGGCATCAGCGCATCACCACACAACACCATGCAAACCTCCAAACCTGGAAGAAAAGGACTCTTGCTGATCAATCTGCTCCCTAGACAGGGCACCAAACCCCAAAATAAAGGACAGGGCTGTTATACAAACCACTGAGGTCTGAAAGCAGACGTTAACTCCTCTGGTACATCTGTCAAATCCTGCTTTCATAAAACTGACAGTCTCTGACTGGAGGTTAGTGACAAACGCTTCCCTGCAGATACCATCTAGTTGGAATAGTTGATCTTAGAGTCATTATGTAAATGAGCAGCCGTGGCACTGTAATTCACATGCCTCAGGTGGTTCGGGTAGCAGGATCCTTTATTATATGGAAAAATTAAAATTTTAGAATCATTGGTTGGAGCCTTGCTCTCTCCGCTCTACTGAACACAATGAGTCTAAAATTATGGTTTTCCAGCATTCTGCTCTTGTGGTTTGTTGTTCGATTAATCAGATATTACAAACTGTATGTTCTCTGTCAGTGTGAAATGTACTAAACAGATGGAAAAATGAGAGTTGGATCAAGTGAGAAATTCTCACACTGATGTGATCATTATCAAATATCCGCACACAAACCATCTGCTGCATGAGTTTAAAGTACCTCATCTTCCCTAGGGGAAGACAACATGTCACCTCTTCATATCATTCAGTCAAGTAGGGCTAAAACTGATTTTAACATGAAATATTCTGGACAACGAGGTGTGGATTTACTTGTCGATGTCAAAATGACTGGGGCAGCCAATCAAATCAAAAAAGGCGGGCTTTACTGTTCACAAAAGCCAACCATGAATTACAACACAAAGCTTCAGTTTTAGCTGTAAAAGACAGCAAGGTAAGACCTAGCTAAACATTTAATATTTGACAACTGTTTTCTGATAAAAATGTTTGAAAATACCGTATAGGTTCTAATTTACGTGATTCGTGTAACAGTGCTGTTTTTGCCATTTTAGGTATATTCCGCCAACTTCCACCAAGCAACAGCAAATGTGACCTCACCTTATGTTTTTTAACTATAGTCATGTTAGCAGCAACCTACTCTACCAAAAAGGTAGCTAACTGCATTACAACTATTGACATATACAACAATAAACATAGTATTTAGCTCCATTCAGAATAGTATGTTCTGACACAACAACAATTCAAAGCATTTAACAGCATTTGAACATAAATGTACACTAAATACCACCAATAAAGCTTGAAAACCCAATAACAGATCTGAGGTGAAAAAGCAATGCACTGAATATATTCCTTAATTAAGTTATTATAATAATAATAAAAAAACCTGCTATATAATGCTTGCTATATGAATATGACAAAAAGCAATTTAACAAGTAGCTACCCTGCTACTTGTCGGATAAAGCAGATTATTATAGGAAAAGCTACTCTGTATTGAAAACCACTGAACTACTAGAGCATTATTTAAAAATGCAGTTAAGTAAATAGTTATTCAACACTTACTGTATGTGAATGTAAAGACACAAAGGAGGAGAATACACAAAAAATAAGAGAGATGCAGTGAACTCATATCAAAAACGCCCTTCGACATGACCATCATACTCGTCATAACAGAGTCCAGGTGGTTAGAGAGAGAGAGACCGTCTGAGGCCTGGAGAGAAGATGGGCTTCAGCCAGAAACAATCTGCCAGAGAGGTCACTGTCAGCCCAGGGACCCCGGCATCCTTTTATTTCTTACTCAAACTCTTTCAAAGAGCCAGAATCTCTTTAGGCTGCAAGGAATCCCATAAGAACAATTACAGGATCCTGTTAAATTATTTTACCACTCTTGTGTCATGGTAAAAACTTGCCATTATAAGTCTGATACATATACGTACAAGCAAATCCACACATTTATATAGCATGCATGCCTCTAGGATGAAACTCCTCCGGCAGGAGTTCTCTGGCAGGCTCAGCTGTCGGAGAAACTCACAATATGTTGAATGTCAGTACAGTAAGGATCTAACCCAAATACTGAAAAAGACTCGAGGAAACTAACTGCATTGCCAGTCTCATCCCCCATCATTCTGAGGCTTTTCAGTTCATTCCCAAGGAGCGAACTAAAGTTTAGTGATGAATGAAGTGCTTTGTGCTTGGTGAGCTGTAGTATATTGAGATTACAGAGAAGCATGTGGGATAATAGCATGTGTCAAAGTCTCCTTCTGTGACCCCAGCAATGTGAAGACAGGATTCATGGCACACATCCTAGACAGGGTTGAATATGGTTTGCTTCCTGCCAAAGGCCAGACAAGCCATGGGTTAGTCACTCACTGAGTAGCAACATTTCATTAGTGTCTACAATATATAATATACAAAATATTAATAACGTAAGAGTAATAGCTTATTAATTGACCAGGAGCATTGACTGGTTGCTGACCGCTGACTCAAGCAAAAAAAAAAACAACAACAACAAAAAAATATTACATTACATATTACACATACATTTGACATGTGTTGGCTATGGAAAGCCATTTGTGCCTTTAAACCTAAAAATAAGGTAATTGTCAAATTATAAATTAATATTTATGTTTTGCAGTTGCAGAAACATAAAATTAAAAGCTACATAAAAATATTCTTTAAAAAGTAATAAAAAAAACGACAAAAGCATACAACAATTTTACAACAAAATTACTAATACTTCAACTAAAATTGAAAATATATAATATTAGATAATATATATAAGCTTATAAATATTAAGTCTGTAATAGAGGCGGTGACACATTAAGCTAAAGAAACATGGAACAAATCACGTTGAGTCTTTTTGGTGTGTGATATTAAAGTCTGTGGTATTTGTTATGGAAGGAACGGACAGTTAGAAAATCATATATATTTAGGGGAACAAAGGAAATTAGTAAAAAGATTTTCATGGCCAATAAGATATATTTATGGATTTAAATTTACCTGCTATTGCATGGGGAAGTTAATTTTGGACCTTGGTACGCACTTTAGAAAAAGCATCTTCCAATCACAGCTAGTCCCTATTTAACTCCAGCCCTTAGTTAAATTATTTTCAAATTAGTCTTCACATTTAATTATGTTAAAACCAGCTCATCAACTGCATTCTGGGATTCATTAATGCCATATAATTAAACAGCCTGTGTGCTCTTATTTGCATGGATGTCTAGATGCATCCATATTTCAAGTGAGTATCCTTTCAAGTTAGTATTCTTTCATCAACAACCAGAAAAAAATTACTGCAGAAAAACAGAAACCTTCTGTTTTTACCCAAATAGCTTGTTAGATCTGGGCTGAAGGGAGTAAGGTGGGCTTCAGCGTGCAACTAAAACATGTCATTTACAACATAATAATTCTGAAACCCACTTGAGCTCCATCAGAGCAGGTGAGTGGGCATAGTGTCACACTCTTCAATTGTTAATGGTCACCGCTAACACAGCTTATTAATGCATTATGACAGCAGCACCCACTGGAAGACCTTCTTCTGTGACAAAAGTGACACATTTTGAAATAATGTTGATAAGTGAGTGGGCATAGTGTCACACTCTTCAATTGTTAATGGTCACCGCTAACACAGCTTATTAATGCATGACAGCAGCACCCACTGGAAGACCTTCTTCTGTGACAAAAGTGACACATTTTGAAATAATGTTGATACACTTAATGGGTGCAGCAAAATTTTACAAAGACGTCTTGTATTCTGAATAAGAGAATGTGTATAGACACACATACACACACACAAATTTTCCCAGAACAAAAAACGAAAATTTTATGTGTACATCTACATCACATCCAAGCCTTTCAGTGTAAATGCCACCTAAATGACCATTAAAACATCTTAATTCATATCTCTAAAATAAATAAATAAATAGAACTAAATGGCATTGTGAGGTCAAATGTCCTTGGTGCCACTGTAGGTTGAAGGTCTAACAGTCTAGGGTTTCATCTCTCTGTCTCTCACTCCATGTCCCTAGTGTGCTGATGGTAGTACAGCCCCAGGCAGTCTTCTCATCCAAACACACACACACGCACAACCCATACTCTCACTCTATAAATACTCACATGGCCATCACAGCCAATTACCCTCAGTGGAGCTGTGCCTCTCTGCCCCAGACGCCCAACTCACTCCTCCTCGGACCCCCTTCAGCACTGTTCTTCACTGAGACAGATTCTGAGGATGCTGGACTAGATGCCCCCTACAGCTGTCACTTACACACACCATATGCATGTTTTAACACTCCATTTTCAATAGACTTGAAAAACATTACACTTGTTTTACCTGAGGGCATGAGAGAGATTTTCCATAATGTCCCACAGACAGTGTTGACACTAGAGTAAGTATTTATATATGATAACATACATCGTTCACAGAGACATAAGAAGGCCATCGGATACCAAAAAATGTATCCAACATTTAAACAAATGAATGTAGTAGATAATATATTATAAAACGGCTTTCTAGAATTGATTATGACTGGACAATCACAGCATTCAGTGGTTAGATGTTTCTGTATAGTGACCAATGAATGTTAAATGGTGGTTGACTAATAAAATAAAATAAATAAAAATAAAATGTAATAAATATTGTAAAGCTTATAACATTACTCTCTGGAATACCTGACTGATTATTCTACAATCAAAATAAAATTAAAATATGACAGCTGCAGGGCAATCAAGATAAGTATATAATATGTACTTACACAAAATGGTTGGAAATTTGGCCAATTTCAAGGTTGATGATGGCAGAGACGTCTAAGACCTGTAAAGCCAAAAAAAAAAGATCTACCAAAAAATGTATCCAACATTTAAACAAATGAATGTAGTAGATAATATATTATAAAACGGCTTTCTAGAATTGATTATGACTGGACAATCACAGCATTCAGTGGTTAGATGTTTCTGTATAGTGACCAATGAATGTTAAATGGTGGTTGACTAATAAAATAAAATAAATAAAAATAAAATGTAATAAATATTGTAAAGCTTATAACATTACTCTCTGGAATACCTGACTGATTATTCTACAATCAAAATAAAATTAAAATATGACAGCTGCAGGGCAATCAAGATACGTATATAATATGTACTTACACAAAATGGTTGGAAATTTGGCCAATTTCAAGGTTGATGATGGCAGAGACGTCTAAGACCTGTAAAGCCAAAAAAAAAAAGATAATTTCCAGACATGTGTTGATTCACCAGTATTAATTTATTATTATTGCTCTAATTTTAGCTTGCCCCTACATACAGCCGGTTTTAAATAGAGAAAGTCACATAGAAGGAAAACTTATTAACTCTCTCTTTCAGTTTTCTGTCCTCTACCTGCAGACATGAGAGGCTTTAATATCCACCCTATTTTTCAAAGTAAACCGTTTTCTGTGAATGTGCGAGACTTCCGCTTCATTAGCCGCTGTAGGGAAATAATGAGAAGAATAACAAAGTGCAGTAAATGGTAAAACTGTTTGTACTACAAACCAGTGTGTTCATAAAGATAATACGTTAAAATAATATGGCAAGACACCAGTTTGCAATATCAAACAGCAAAACAAGCTGTTTTGTACAGCTAAAAATAGCTGGAAGCGAATGACACCAGAAGCCAGACACATAAAATTTTACATTACAAATGGCCGTGCCCACTCTTATGGGAAAAAATAAGGTGGATAACATGAGCCATTACACTTCACATCAAAATCTGTGGCCCTGAAGACAGACGAGATTACGGAGTAGCCTACTGGACAGCTGTGTAATCTTGACCTCTGAGACACAGGAGCTTGACCTCTGTCAAACAAAAAGATTACAAGGTCTTGTCTGATTTGACATAATATTGAGAGGAAGAGAGGAAGTGAAGGAGAAAGAACAGTGAAAAAGAAATCAGGGAGTGAGAGAGATGTGGCAAATATAGAGCGATGAATGAAGTGCTGATAGATGGGTAGAGTGAGTCCTGCTGACGCCTCGTTCTTCTGTGGCACACAGCACAGACTGATCTCTATGGACATGAAAGACGCTGAGTAGGAGAACATACAGTAAATACCTTCCTGCCAATACACTGTGTGGATGTGAGCATGCTCAAGACATGCTAAAGATGTGCAACTTGGGGACAGCTTGTCTGTGACCATTACATTTCCCAGTTGCACAATTCTGAAATGTCCTGAACACAAGGTTCATATTTGACCTAACACCATTTGTGCTATGAACATGTATGATATATCATATGGCTTGCTTAGGAAAGGTGTGCTTTCCCTTTTTTTCCTGGTAGACAATAAAATGGGTGGAATAATCCCATAGATTTAGGCCACATATACACAGCATCAGAATATAGTTGTCAGCCCTGTATTTGAGTCCTTAATATGGTTATGTTCAAACACAGTACAGTCATTTATGGTTATTGGTAAGGAATACAGGCTTGAGTACCATTGCACATTCATACAGACAATATTCGAGATACTACTGTAAATTACTACGTGAACGTGACATTTCGAGACTTACACCTTTAAGTAAATGTGATTGTCAGTCCCAAAAACTGACAGTGTGAACATAGCCTTATACTGAGGGAAGGACTCAAGTCATTCATAATGGCCAAAATATTCAGCCAACAAGCAACCTATCCGGAACACTGTAGTAATTGCAAAGCAACATGCTCAGAAACAGTGACCAACTATATATAAACCACCTAGAACATTATATCAACCACCTACTGTAGCAATCCATGCGTAGCAACATGCTCATAAATCCTAAGCACACCCTTGCAACCTCCTAGTAACACCCTACTAACTGTATACTGTACTGTAAAACACTGAAAACCCTCAGAACATCCTAGTAGCAACCACCTAGTAAACCCCCAGATCACACAACAACCACTCTTCCAACTACAAAGTAAAAGAACAGCAACACTGCAGTGCACCCTAGAAACTGAATTTAAACACAGAATTTGCCAAATTTTGGATGAATAAAACAAAAGTAGGTCAGTACACTTAAATCAAAATGCGATATGGACTAGTGTCAGTGAATATTAAGCCACAAAAATACCATTTAAATATGAGTCCTGCATGTCCATGCTTGCAGTGTTTTTAGACTCTGCTGCCTCCATATATGAACACATAAACATAATCTCTACAACTGCTCTGAGAGTCACTTCATGAGCATTTTACTGTTTCTTTTGAGTAAAACTATCATCATAGCATATACAAACAGAAACCTTCACAGGTCTTCACAGGAACCCATCAAAATGAAAGCTCAGTTTAACTTGAAGAAACTGTGACCGAAATATTACTTAATGTAATGATTGTACTACTACTACTAATACAATTATTATTAAAACATAATTTTAAAGGAATATTTACCAGGAAGTGTTTTTTAGCAAAAAAATTTAAATACACAACACAGTATTTCTGGAAATAAATAAATAAATAAAATAACAATAAATGAGCATTTTTCCACTAAAATCAGTTCATTAGAGATGTTTTTGATCATTAATATTTAATGACACTATTAAAATTAATCTAGAAAATTAAAGGAAAACAGAACAGGGCTCGCAAAATCGCTAGCCCGACGTCCCGGGGCTAATGTTTTTTCCAGTCGGGCTACCAAAATGTATCACCACTCTGCCCAACAAGCTATCTTAAATGCAGATCTCCCGCGGGTGCTTAAAAACTCATAAAGTGAGTTGTATCAAACTTAAGGCCATAAAAAGTTTAAATATGTTAAATGGTATAAGAAATGTCTTAATTATAATTTCAAGAGGTTTTGGGGACTGAAAGACAAGAGTGGCGATATGGCTGGATTAAACTTCAAAAGGCAATGATGTCATTGAATAAATATGAGCGCTGCACGTTTCAAGTCAAAACGTGGCGCAGATGTCTTTATTTGAATGTATCTGAAGGGAACTGACTGTCCTCAGAAACGTGTTGTTGGCATTTTAATTTCATTTGACCTATAATTCCTGATAAAGCAGCGTTATGAGGCGCAGCTGCTTTGTGTACAGCTATTACCGGGGAAACCGCAATATTTTAGCGCTTCTAAAGCGCCACCTCGTGGCAGAGAATGGATTTGCATTTCCAGTAAGCCTTTCTTGCTGTTTATGGTCAGAATCAGATAAATGCAAATATCAACTCAAATTTTTACGCAGCAAACACAGAGTTGTAAATGAGAAAGAAGTTAATGTGCCTTCTAAAAATCTAAACAATTAAGACTTTATACATTTTAAATTGACGATTTATATGCTTGATTTGTCCCTTTTCATAAAAAAGGTCTAAAGGCTATGCTGTTGTATAATATTTTTGTTTTTGTGAAAACCTGTATCTGAACTGTAAATCATGTAATTTTATGGCTCAGTACTGTATGTTACACAGACATTGTCCAACCTCACTCATACTGTGTTCATTTTACTTGTGCAGCTCTTAAAATGGGTCATAAATTCCCTTAAATTTATTTTTACAAATTCTGCAGATACCCTGTAAATAGTGAAATAAAATTCCTTCCTTCATATTTTTTGATATTTGTGTATTGAAAATATTTTTGATTGACATTTAAACTCTATCTGATTTTCTATGTTTAAAAAAAAAGTATTTTTTTATTTGGGCTAGTTAAATACATTTCCAGGCTACCAAAATCTGAAGAGTACCTGCCCAAAGAGCTGCCAGGGATTTTGAAAATTTGCGAGCCCTGCAGAACTTGGTAAAAATAAAACTGAATTTGAGGAAAAAATAAATAAATTCATAGGGCCTTAAAATATCATTTTTGTTGAACTTTTGATAAATTGTTTAATATTGTTTATATTAATTATATTAATATAATTCATTAGACATGCTTTTTGATGAATACAATTTAATTAAACATTTAAAACAAAAACAAAAAAATGTAAACAAAAAATGCAATCTAGAAAATTAAAACAGAATTTGGAAAATATAAAATGGAATTTGGGAAAAAATAAAAACGGATTTCTTAAGGCCCTAACATAGAGGCTACAAAAAAAACACACCTCAGCAACCACCAAGCAGCCCCAATAATACCCTAGCAACTGCATAACAATCAAAAACACTCAGAACACCTTAGCAACCATGCAAAACATAATAGCAACTATATTGCAACATGATCAAAACACTCAGAACCTCTTAGCAACCACCTAGTGGCCACAGAGAATACCCTAGCAACCACCAAACAGCTCCCATAATTCCCTAGCAACTGTATAACAACCGAAAACACTTGGTACACCTTAGTAACCATCTCTATTAGTCCCCAGAACACCCCAGCAACTGCATAGATAGTCCGCAAAACATTGTAGCAACTGCACAGCAATCAAAAACAGTCAGAACACCCTAGCAACCACTAAGAACCCCATACATGATAAAGCAATCACATCTGAAAGGATAACAGATCTGAAATGATGAAGATAACAGATAGTTTTGTGTAGGGTTGTCACTAACGATTATTTTAGTAATTGAGTAATTGGTCGATTATTCTGATGATTAATCAAGTAATCGGATAATTATAATAAATTTTTTGTAGTAATGAAAATAGACCTAAGCGACCAACAATAGACTTTAAAATGACTTAAAATACATACATTATAGCAATGGGGCAATAATAATTAGTTCAAATAAAGTATCAAAAGCAAGTAATAATATAGTTTTATAATAAACTAAATATAACAAAACTCTTAAAATACATAAATTATTATAAACAGAGCTAATGTACATTACGCATTGTAAAATATCTGCAGAGGGCGCCAACGACCTGACGATTGTTTTTACACTTTACTGCACAATCTAATCTTTGTTTAATATTGACTAAACAACATTTAACTCAAATGTCCACTTAATCTTTAATATTTGGCCACTTCTTTATGACATAAATGCTACAGCTACTGTAATTTCTTGAATATGTGGACATCAAAATGTGTAAACTCAGAGTGAGGGTTTAAGATTTTATTTTGAAATCACAATGAACAGCTAGCATATTTAGAAAGATATTGATTATCCTGTGTTTGCCTAGGTTTATAAATTATTTCCCTTTCAAATCTGATGAAATGGTGCACTTTGCATTCCCAGATGAACGTAATAAACCCAAACTCACAGCAAGATGTAGAGATGGCGTTTAAGATGCTCCACACATTTAAATGATAACTGTTTGCGTGAAGCAGCATTTACTGTGA